CTACCTATGATACGACTGAAAATAAGCTCAACGAGCCATATGTAGCATTAAAGTGTTCTGGTAAATTATCAGCATGCATCCCCGAAAAAATGTTAAAAAGATTGGGTTTTTTATGTTTTTTTCTATTTCTAGTACATACCAAGGTGATTGAGAGAGCACCATTTTAGAGCCACCCCATCTAGAAAAGGTGATTTAACTGGGCCCCACCCAATGTCACGCAAACTGGGCTGTGAAGAAGATGAAAGATGATGACCAACCGAGAGAGCGATTGGATGACATCTTTACCAATCACTTGTTGGGAAGACGCCTATTTAACGCCCACGACGCGGATGCCGGGTCATTCCACAGGCTTGAGTATGGGGGTCTTACATGGAGTCGCTAGAACGAAATCGGTGAGCATTTACTTTTGTGGTTTCTTGTTATTCGGCTGCGTTGAGAAATGGGTTAATAAAACAGTGCATTTTTACTACGTCTTGTAAAAGATAGTAATTTGGTAATTATTTTAAGAGGCAATGGTCGACACCAATTTGTACCAAGCCCTTTTGTTGATAGACAAGCGAGTAGGAAACCATAAAAGTGTATTCAAGTTAGAAAACAGTCTTACCATTATCAGACTGATAAATTAATACATGTTAGTAAGAGGAATTGGCTTTATACTAACGGGAATACGCATTCAGTTGCAACCATTTTGCAGTTTTACGGCCTTTGTGTATGCTAAGTTTTTTATAGAGGAGTAACTTGTGTTTAAATAAACCTCTCGCAAATATGCCGAGTTTATGTAGGAATCCTAAATAAGGCCATTTTAGGCCTATTTCACAACGAATTTTATGCAGAACTTCAAGGCTTACTTTAAACTTAATTGTGAATTACACCCAACGTATTTGCACACATGAAATCTGTGAACCCCAAAAGCACTTTAACAACTCCAGTTTGTAAATATTGTGAAAACCTTTTTTGACAACTAGACCGGCTGTTCACTGGCAAAATATCTTAATACAGCTACTAACGCATCTTTTACATTGATACTTGAATTTGGTTCCTATGCGTGCCATTGGTTTATCTAGGGTGTACCATGGAGCGTTTTCTCAAATGCTACTACTGGATTTCCGAGCGTCTTGTGTGTGGTGAGGTAACTTCCCACAGATTTGTTTGTGTAAACTCTGCACGAGTTATTTAATGACCCGTTTTTTAAGTCTTTTCATTTGGTTGATCCTGTCAGCATGGAGGATTTGGATGAAACGTCGTAATAAGAAACTGGGTGCGTCTCTCTTTCATGGAATACTATATTTAAGTATTTTGAGCTTCCACCCGAATATACACAATGTGTGCAATTTTTACTTTTGTGCGTTGTTAATCTGTGATTAATAGGTAGCCGACCAAATGGTATAATGCTAATGGGTTTGGTAGAATTGTGTAATGCAACCAATCCTTTCCTGCTCCCTGTTTTTTGGGGATCATTTCAAAACTCAAATGGAAATTTGACCTAATTTTAGATGAGCGGATAGTTACATTGCGCCAGTTGTGCGGATGTCTTTTTCTCATGGGATGCATTGTTGTCTATGTCGCCATATGTGAAAGGTATAAATGTACATATATATGACTTTGCGGATTCATGTCTTTTAATCTACCTTTTCTACTAGTGCTCTGCGCGTGTTGTAAAACGGTGCAATTATATGAAAGAGTAACAACAAGCATTCGCGCGTTGAAATAGATTTTCGGTGGTGATCTTGTTTTTTTTTTTGTAGAGGTATAGGCCGATTAGTAAATCCTCTATTCACATGGGTCGGATTCTCTATTATTACAATTGTCTGTATTATTATGAACTCTCTCTGGACGCATCCGGTTTCGAAGGTATTTTTAACTTAGAATTCAAAGTCTTACAGATGATTAGTCTTGTTAATTTTCTTCTATGATTCAAGCTAGCTCAATTATTGCAACTTACCAAGCCTTGTTACGGTGGATTTTTTTGCAACCATCTAGGTATTTTTCCAAAAACTTTGTGCACAAACAGTATTGGTGCTTTTATATTTTCAAGTGTTTTTTTGCATTTTTTCAAAGCCTGGTCCAATGAATTGTGATCTTACCAACGAAATTAAAGGGTGGATGCAGGCATTGATCGTGGCTTACCATTACCTTGGCGGCTATGGTGTATGTTGATATAACTAGCATGCTTCTCTAAAAAATGACATTTATTGAAGGCCTGTTAAGGATCTTTCCTTTATGCCTTATCACAGTTAAGAACTCTGCGTTGAAGTAGTTTGATGTTGTGCTGTTGCTGTCGGAAATTTGTCGTGTATCATCTCAAATGCCTACAGCTTGGTATAAGTACCTGATATTTATGAGCTTTCAAAGTAGATTAAATGCACACCATCCATTTCGCCAAAGCTTGTTACCATCCAATAAGCACATATTGTCAATGTTATAAAGTCCCACTAATCAATCCAATTAAACTAATAAATGCATGCTTCGGAAGTATCTTAAAACGAGTACAGAGTAAAATTTTGGAATCAAATTATTGTATTTGTTTGAGCTCTTATTTCTGTTTGATCGACCAGGTACTGCCCATCTACATTTTGATGCGTATATTCGTATCAACTTACGTTACTTTATCCGGCTTCGGTCACTTTCTCTTTTATTGGAACAAATTTTCTCCCAAGGTAAACTCCAGCTTATTATCCAGACCGCGATTGTGCATTACTTATCGTGTCGTTGAACTCGATTTTGTTTTATGGAGTCTGTATCAGAGTGTTCTTCGCCCAAGCACCTCCTGAGAACTTACCTCGCGCTCCTCTATCGATATGCTCAGGTAACGCTCTCGCCTTTGTGGCTCACCGTATATTTTAAAGTCGGGCCTCGCCTTTGTGTATTGGCAAGGGAAGGCCAACGACTTATTAGGTGCTTCAAAATGAATGCGAGGTTAGTACTTATGTCGCACAAATTAGATTTAGAAGGTAGAAAATGTCATCCCAACTCTATATGCAATACATCAACCATAGTTTTATTTCTGATGTTGCAAATCCAGAGTGATGAGACTCATGCATATTTTAGTTCCACTTAATAAGGGTTTGCTTATCACTAAACTCAACTGTCAAACAATTACTGGTCTCTGCTTCTGGTGAAAGCATATTAGATTTCATGAAATAATTTCATGTTTTCTATAAGTGAAAACTCATCCAATTTCCCGGAAAATCAGAACCACGACTTGTTCCGTGAGATGTTGTATTTTTTATTCCTTCGAAGGTCTTCCTACGAATGAATTTTCTCAACATTTCACTGTGCTTGAGCTTGCGGCAGCCCTATCTCCTCCACTATTTTGTTGGTCTCATCTCATACTGCTACACAGTGGTGGCAATCACCATGACTTTTTGGCTTGCACTCACACAACTTTTCATTGCGATATCGAAGTCTGTGAACGAGAAATCAAAGATTCCAGCGTTTATAATTGCATTGGTTGTTTCGACTCTCTTCTCAGCGGTGCTTAAAACACACAAATCACTTTTTAATACCATATTTTTCTCTAAGTAAGCTCGATATATTCATATGTGAATATTTAGTGCATTAAGTATTCATATGAATTTTGTCATTATTCGTCAATTAGAATCCAATCTAGGGTAGGTTACTTGAGTTTTTAAAAATTGAAAAGCCACAAGTGAAAGCATTTTAAGTATTTCATGACAACTTGTTGAAAGATGTTTAACATCCTGCCCGCAAATATGCAGTCACTCCATGCCGTGTAGGTGTAATAGGCTTTCATCCCTCTACGAAATATTCATTCATCTTCGCAGAATTGCTGGTTCAAGAAACAAACAGTTTTCAGAATGATGAGGTTTGAAATGGATGTTAAGATGTTAGAAGAATAGCGCATAGTTATTTACCTCATTCTCACCTTTCCTCATAAAAGTGAGCCTGCTATGGTAAATAATCATTCTTCCCCTCTCTAGACCACTTGGTTGGGCGTTACAATCAGTTGAAGGCGAATGGCTGGCCCGTTGGTCACTTGATCGTTATTCGTCCCAATTCGGACTCCTTTGTGGATTCATATTTGCTCAGTGTAAGCAGAGGTGGAAATTCACAAATGAGAGCTCAACGAAATCTAATAGCGACCGCTCTTATAAAATGAGAACTGGTCTCTTCTTTGGAACGGGCATCGGCGTCATTGCAGTATGTTTTTTTCTCGTAAAAAGATAATTATCGGACTTATACACTATTTAAATTAATTTTCCTTTAAAGCCGGTAAAGTGGGAATGGCAAAATTTTAGTTCAGTGTAAGTATAAGTTGCTTCTACTAATTGTCATTAGTAGAAATTCTATCTCAATATTTTTATCTGGCAAATAGATTAAACTGATTCTTATTCCACAAATGCCTATTTTGGACAACAGTTGTATTGCTTCATTTATTCGCTCATTTTTTTTTCAGGTTTATATTTGCTACTTTTCTGTTACAACGAATCACAGCACCTACGTGAAGTGGCATCCGTATTTGTGTTTTATCCCTGTAAGTTTATTTGGACATCAAATACTAAACTGAATGGATACAGCTTTCCTTTTAGCTAACACCGGATTTGTGAATTTTATATTAAACTCATTTCAAGTCATTACAATAAATAGGCGTTTCTTAAAATAATCAAAAATATTCGCTTGTGATTTGGTATCAACTTGGCATTTCTTCTTTATAGATTACTGCCATCATAATTCTACGTAATATAACAGCCTTCGGCCGAAATCATGCTAGTGTATTCTTCTCATGGTTCGGTGCATTCGCATTAGAGGTAAGCGATGCCATTCATAATAAGAACATACATAAAAGGCTATTTATCCTTTTATAACAAAAGACCAAATGCTAATTCCTTATTAGCTATGTTTTGGCCACCTTATTTTGCTTTTATGTCCAACTTTTAGGCAGTAACGATAGCCATTCCAGAAGCATTCATGATATAATGCTGTGCAATTACGGCAAGAACATGTCATTTACTTAGAAAATGCCCACTTATGCAGGCTTTGCATTTAATAGTAGTTTTTATTTGATTGAAGCGTCTGTCGTTAAGAATGTACAAAATAAAGTACTCATTACCGGAATATTTGTAGGTAATGCGAGATGGTAATTTATATTCAGCAATTTGCCCTTATTTGTTGATCTATCTCAAGCTCATTTTAATTCGTTTTTTCCTCTGTTTATCGTTGACAGCTTTTCATCCTACAATACCACATACTCCTCACGAGAAACATGAGAAAAGTGTTCCTGGTCTTCACGAAGAGTCGGATCATCAATGGACTTATTATTACACCTTGTTTCGTCACGGTCTCTTATTGGACTCACTTGTTGACACAAGACATTTGTAACATAATTCTTCCACCACACGATTTCTTTCCCAAACCACCTCCAAATCTTCAAAAAGTTCCAAGCAATTGAAGATGAAGGTGTAAAGCAAATTTTTTCTCAGGCTATTTGTGGAAACATTACTTCTTTTTTTGTACGAAATCTTGAATGTTTCTTTTAATGGAAAGTGGAAATAAATGAATGAACGAATTTACTTAATGAGTTAATGGTACTAAATTGAATAAGTATTAGGTCCATTGTTTAGGCATTTGTACTAAATATAAACTGGAAAAAAATAAACTTTCTACCACAAATTATGCGTGAGCTGAGTTTCAGAAGTACGATGCAATGTCTGATCGCCGGTCAGAAGCGAGTATTGAATACCCTTCAAGTGTATTTGGTCCAGTAGCACAAAGAATGACTACCCAGAGTCCCCTGTGGTTTTATTTGCACAAGCCCATGTCCCAAGATGAAAGGACAACGGTTTGTTTTGAAATGTAGTGAAGGTTTCGGTGCAGTGTATTTGCATTGTGATCTGGCTCGCGACGTAATGCACGGCCTCTGTAGATTGTGGAGTACCCATGAACTTCCGCCTCATCTGTACTAGTGGAGGCCTTAATGTGGCACCTGAGTGGTTTCGCAGTGCTGTGTGCATGCACCTCATAGTTCAGATATTGGATAGGTTAAATTATTTGAACTAGAGGGGGCATTTAATGTCTTGTACACAAAGAAGTGTTATTCTAAAATTGCATTTGCGAGGTAAATAACCCGTTGGGCGGTTTCATCTGTTTAGCATGTCATCCCGGATAACTGATTATGCATGACAGAAAGAAAGCAACTGTGGAAGACTTTACTAAGAAACGATGCTACTCACTTTTCTTGATATTTGTCCTGCCATATTTTACTTTCAACAGGAAAGAATCCGCAAATTAGGTAACTGATATTGGTGAATTCCACTGTGCAGACTTACTCCCGATTAAAAATTGAAAGTCTTCATCATTTTTAATGGAGCGCTCAGATAGTTATTTGATGGATACGTTGTAATTGTGTGTTTCAATCATTGTGATAGCTAAATATTTTGTGCCCTGAATATTAGCTCCAGCAAGGTAGTAGTCTGGGTTAGTGGGACTAATGCTTTTGCCTTGCCCAGAAATTGGCTAGGCTCGTTCTACCCAGATGAAAATTGCATTCAGATGTGGGTTTGACAGCTCACATAATGAGGTGGTAAAATCAATTTATCTTTTTTGATTTGAGATTGCACTGAATAGTGAGAAATGAACTTATCATTAAAATGGATGTGGAATTTACAAATTGGAGGGACTTAGCTTGCAGTGTATGGGCAGCTATTTAACTACGTGGCCTCTTTAGTCTCCACAAGTTGTACTCCGTCCAAGCGGCATGGCTTTCCGACCGTGCCTGTGACCTCCCAGTCCTCTTCTACATTGAGATGACTCTAATACAGCCTATTGCGACTTTGAAATATTATAAGTATAATATACAAAAAACTGTTTTAATAGAGCGGTATGCTGAACAACTTGATAATGTGTCATAAAGTTGGAATACAGTATCTTAAAGGCCATAGGTATGACATGCTCAGTCACAACAATGTATCCCTCTACATTGGCTGATTAGCCAGCTACCTGCTAGTAGGCATTGCCTAAGGGTTTTTCTGAAGTAAAACTTAGGGCTTCTATTTAATATAATCATTTCAAAATATAGCCAGTTTATTTGACATACAATTGTAGGACCCTCTCTTTCGTATTGGTCCAGAACTCTGTTACGGTAGTTAGTTTGATGGGCTTAGCACTACAGCGTCATTGGTTATTGTACACAGCCTGCACATTGCATGAAAAGTTGTGTACTTACGGGCGGAGAGACCGTATCCTAATAGCAGACCGAAGATGAAATCCTTTCGTCTGCGTCGGAACGCTTCTTTAGTTTACAACAGCATCTCGCCACTACTTACGTTGGATTTGGCAAAATCTAAAAACCTAAATTCTGCATTCCACGGATTCAGTGGCACGGTGCTCACGCAGCCTGAGATCGCTAAGCTAATTGACGCAATGAGATGCGATGAGGTGGAAACATTTGAGACCTTCTGCTATGAGCACATTCAAAACTTTAGGGTTAATGTGGTGCTGACTCACTTACCAGTAAGTTTTTTTGTAGTATTTACAGTAATTTAAGCAATGATTGTTATTTTAACCGTTGTATGAAAGCCTATATGGCAGCCTATGATTAGAATGCAACAGCTATTTCCTCAAACAAAGTACAGTTTATTACTACTTTTATTCCTCACTCGATTCGAGCTGTCGAGTATATAAATTTTTGTATTATCATGAAATAATATGGCTTTTTGACAAGGTTGCTAAATCATTAATGTGACTTCTTTGCCCGCACAAAAGAAAATTATAAGGAATGGATATAACATTACCATTTCCAAGTAGCGATAACCGTTTAATGTGTAGCTGACGTTTATCCATTGTGGAATTACTCTGTAGTTCTGAATCAAATACTAGGTTGGATAAATTTAAAACATTTTTGCCCTTTCTACTTTCTTCCAAACACAAATAGTTAAGTTTGCTACATTAAAAGTATCATTTGGAACAGTTTTTAAGGATTATTTTAAAAGCAAAACCGCTAAAATACTTGAATGCTGCAACCTCAAAAAGGTCAAAAAACGGCAGCTGTCAACGAAAAAATGTGGCAGTGCTTTGTCAGTTAACTGATCAACTGTTCTCGAAATTCCTTTAAAATTTTTGCCTAAAGTCGCTGTTGTAGGATAGTAATTGTACAAAGCTGTAACATTCAGTAATTTTTGCTGCAAACCTTCGGGTGACACCTCACTTGGGAAGGTGAATTTTCCATAGATATCATGTTGTACCTCATTGCTTTCAATTCTTTAGCGATTTTTTTTCATGTGGACAGATATTTGGTGGCTTATTACTACTCTTACGAGCCAAAATCGCTTAAGTGAGATGAAGTCCTCTTACTTTACCCGTACTCTTAATGCAAAGTTGCTCAACTATCATAATTTTAGGTACATTGTTAGTAGAAAGTTTGGGTAAAGCAATCCCTTTTTAGTCCAATTTTGGATATCATGTCTTTACAATTCTAGTGTGTGGAATACATGGCATCTACATTTTGGAAAGCTCTCTACGGCGTCAACTTATTGCATTTGGCATGCATTTTGTCAGCGCATTCCATCATTGGCAGCATCCTAAAACACGATGTCAAACGCGTCCTAACAAACGTGCGTGAGCTTCTTCCTGATTTTCGAAGAAATTTTACCAAAAATACAAGTTCGAAATTTAACATATATGTATGTAGTTCTATGTATGTGTAACGCCCCGAATCTTTGCTGAACCGTTGCACAAAAGTAGAAGACTAATTTTGTGTACAATCGTGAATATTTTTCAATCCCAATGCCTAAAGAAAAATCTTGGAAATTGAAACGAATCAAAGCGGATAATACAATATTGCTGATAGCTGGGGTAAGGCTGTGGTCACTCAAAAATTTAAAAAAATTTAGTGTAAGCTTTTCTGAATTAAGAGATCTTGACTAGTTAAAAGGTACAACCAAAATCGAAAATAAGAGGGAAATCCAACCGGCTTGTCATTGCTCAACTAAGTAATGGGCTCATGCAATTCCCTCGGGACAAAATTGTTGCCTTTTGAGTCTCCCTCAGATTCGTAATCAGCCAAAATGGGGTAGTAGAACATATGCGGGTGACGTACAGAAGGGCTGGATGCCAACTAGTATGGTCTGAGAGACATGCTGCAGAGCAGAAGCACAATCCTCGGGGACTGAAGTGCTTGTGTGGTTTAACGCGCAAATAAAAAAAATACTGAATAACTACATCCTTATACATTCATTTTTACCGAAGGGGATGTGAAGTAAGCTCCTATCTTTGTCCTCTTTTTACAACACTATGATTCCAAAAAATCAACCTGTTTTTAGATGGACAATTTGCATTTATTCTTCTTCCCGTTTGAGAATGATTTTGCCACCGTAAACGCTATTATTCTTAGTATGATATGAGAGCTGCCAACATTTAATTTTTAATGCAAAAATTAAGGATGTTTTAATAACTTAAGGGCAAAATTTAACATTACATTACTAGCCATAAAGAAACCCATTATTTACTCATTAGGTTTTAAAAAGAAGTATACCCGATTTTAACTTTACCTTGTGATTTTGACAGCTCAAAAGCAATGTAGTTAAGATATTTGTTGTTTTGCAGCTTCATTACTGGAAATATGATGAATGATTTAAGTAGTTAAGGGAATTTACGCCACCCTGCTTCAAAAGATCACAAAATCATCTGGATTATTAATATTTCCAAGGTGTGAGCTAATCTATTGCTAACGGTGAGGCCGCAGTGAACCAACGAATGAGTTTGGAGTTGGATGGATTTAAATCCAATAATTTGGCTAATTTAAATTTGCTTTGGTAGGAAGAAGTTTCGGCCGTCCATATTTGTGGTGCTTTGGGCGACTATGCGGGTCTGCGGAAGCTGCTTAAGGCAAACTTCAATCCCGCCTCACAGGACATTGTACGTTTTCGCATTCATCATTATAAGTTTGAAGCTCCCAAAAGAAATAAATGTAGGTTTGAATCCATTTTATTTTAAATAAGAAGATTAGAACGATTTCAGTAAAGTAAATGAGGCTTATAATCGAGTTAGCGACTTGCGAAGTTTTGTTTTATTGACATAAAAGAGGAAACGTTAGACAATTCCAAGTTTATAATGGGGAATACTTACAAGGGCTCTTGCTTGGATGAACAAATAGTCATTCTAAAAACTTATTTGTTAGCTACCTTACTTGTGTAACTAGGAGACCCACCGAAAGGAAATAAATGTACACCCATTTCAAGATTTTTGTCATTAAACCCATACTATCACCCAATTTTGCCCGTTGTGTTACATTTAGTTGGGTCGTACGCCATTGCATTACGCCACTCAAACCAACCTACCCATGGTAGTGATGCTGCTGTCCAAGGATCCTACTCCCATACACATTCAGGATAAAGTAAGTAAACTTCATGTATTTTACGTATTCTAGCAAAAATTCATCTCGATTCTCTTGTTTACTCCCACAATTTTACGTGAACAAAATAAGTAAATCGCAATTAAGTAATCAATGATTTTGTAACAATTTGACTTGACCACTTGTTTTAGTTCACACATATTTTGCCAAATTTTAGGGGAGATGTGAAGTTTTTGACCGAGTTTAAAATACCTGCGATAAACTAAAATGCCGATCAAATAATAGGGTTTGGGTTATTTCAAACAATGCGAGGAGCACAGTACCGAACAAATAGGTTCTACGGAATTTATTCAAAATTGGATTAATGAAAAGTGGTGTTTACTTCAAGCATAGATTGTAGATGCTGTAATTTGACGGTTTCATGTTTCCAAACTGCATGCAATATCTCGGTGTCCTGCAGACTGGTCTCCCAGAGTACTCATTCTTGCTTGTCTTGCAAATGGTCATTTCAAGTGGAAGACAAGCTGCTTCTTCCGCCTAAAATTAGAAAATTTACACAAATTTTTAGCAGCCAAATTATTTATTTATATAACTAGAATAATTAAGTAGATATCAAGTAGAAATCCATGAATTTATTTGCTGATAACTGTGTTTGTGTGGTTATTTGCTTTGGGAGATAAGGGATGAAATATTATAATGCTAATCATGAAATCTGTCTTCAATAAAGTTTGGAAAGCTGCCCGTGGATTATTGCCTAAGCTATCAGCCCCAAAATATTCGAGACTTCCTCAACGAACAGTCGAAAGCGCCTTCATCCGCGTTCGTGACGGACAATGACGAAGTAGAAATGGATGTCATATCAACGGTACTAAGTTTCTGTGTCCCACTTTTCCATCTGTAGTATTTTTATGTCCGGAATGTAGTAATCTTTGCCATTATAAAATTAGTACAGTCCGTTTATTATGCAACAAAATTCAACAAACATTTAGTGAGAAAGTTTATGGTTACTTAAAATACACCTTTTACTTATGGTCCTTCCCGTAAGTAGAACATTGTGATAACACGATGACAGACGATATCGAGAGTAGGGAAACCAGTTATTAAATATTCTGAAAAATTTTATGTCCTAGAATGGTGCAAAGTTTGCGAGATTTATCTGGCGTTATCTTTTTTGATGTAATTAAAGTGGGTTCATGTTTTTTGTATTAATCAAAGAGGTCTTGTGTGGTAGCTTAATGAAATGCCTTCTAGCATGGCTAAATAATAAATCTGTGCTTAAAAGCCTCCACAAATTGAACATTCACGCCATTCATTAAGGCAAATATGATGCAGAGCCATATAAAATAGTATTATTAACTATATGGCTCAGTAGAAAAGAATCTTTTTGGTGCAATGCTCCCAAAAACTCATTGACCATATCGATTCTGGAGTTTACACCGAGTCTAGTGGAATACTTTTGTCTGTTCAGTAAATGGAAAGCGGTGGTGATAAAAAGCATCTGCAGTAGCCATCATTGACAAAAAAATGAGCAAATTACTGCATTTTTTCATTTATGTACTTACTATTTGCTCTATGGATACAATATTCTACAGTCTTTAGGAGTGCATTCTCAATCCATTTTGTTGCATAAGGCATTTTAATGCACACGTTGTAGTAAATGCTGTGCTGACGGAAAAAGCGTACGAGCTGCTGCATATATGTATACAGGCTGGTGGATGAGGTATATTTGATTCCCAAGTCAGTTGCATATTTTTTACTTATAGGAACAGGAAGAAACCGACTCTAACTTGAGCATGGCATTGAACTTTGAGGCCTATCTTTGTACCCAAATTAATCCACTTTACTGGTAAGTTTTAAGTCAATATGCCAAAAGCATGCACAGCCTCAAACACCTTGATAGTTATTGTTAAGGTTAACCCACGAAAGCATTTGTTAATACCTCTTGTCAACACTCGTGATCGGACAACAGTGCGTTCATATTTCTGATCCGAATTAGTGTTTAAAGTACAAGAGGAGAAGTACAGGCGTTCTAATTTAATGTATTTTTTCTTAACACCTCAGCTACAAAGGTCACACATACTGCGAATGTTGCGATGATGCCTTCAACCACGAAGTTTTCAGTGGACATGCAGTGTTAGACAAACTGGTTGCAAGCCGAAAGGACCGATTTATTAAGCGGCCGACGAACACCTTCGGACAATTTGAAACACCCTGCTCCAGTGTCATGGCTGAGGTGAATTTTATTGCCTTAAAAACTGCGTATTAGCAGCATGCTTGAACTATACTGTTATAGTGATGAGATAACAGATAATAATAGGTTCATTAAAATTTTTTTTTTCTACCTTAATAGTTTGTGAGAATGACAGATGATACACCAATGGAGGACTTGGAAAAGCTATTTTTTCGCATCTGGAAGCTGCGAAAGCCCGGTCTAGTGCTGTCTCTTCATGGTTCAGTTCCGATGGGGAAGGCATCCCAAAAGCGCTGTTATAGCCTGATTTTTAGAGTGTTTCAGAAAACCTGTAAATTGCATCTATTTTTAAATTATGCTGCCATATAACCAGGCAGATTTGTCAACGTATTCACTAAGTCGTCAGAATTACTCATTTGCCAATTAGCTTTTTCATTCCAATCACAATCCCAATCAAAATGGTAAAGACAGTATATGAATTAAAATCTCCTACCTTTAAAATCCAAATTATCTTTATGAAACAAATGTATCCTCTAGATTTCATATTACTATTTGGCACTCACTCACTTCTTACTATGCAATTGTTTGCCTAAAAGTTTAAGGTATTAAATAGCTTGTACTAACAATATGTAGATTCCAAGCAGACTATTTGGCTCCAAAGGAACAAACTGTACTATTTTTTTATTTTAATTAGTTGCTTCTTTTTTGCCTACAACAATTATCTTGTAATAGAAATTGTAAATTGTTTTGTTGGGGTTATAATATCACTTTGAGAAGTTTTAAGCTAATATTTGATTGAGATCCAACTGCGTGCGGAATTTCAGTAACGTGGATTATCACAGATGGTCAATATGGTAGCGTCTCGGAAGTAATGTCCCTTGGTATGTGCGGCTATGTTGAGGCCTATAGGCTGAAAAGTCTGCAAGTAATTGGGATAGTTCCATGGCGACGGCTGCCTTTTCAGTCGCATCTTCGATCCTCAAACTATATGGTAGGTCCTGAGGCTCTTAGAGCACACGTAAGATGCTTTTTTTTGTCAAAAATTTGCACCCTTGTCATATAAAAAATTAAGCTTATTCCAAAATGTTTCTTTCATTAACAATTAAAGGCCCCTTACATCCACCTTACTTAAGTGCATAGAACCACAATTGTATTTAGTAATATTCATGCGTGGTTATAGCCCATTTTAATCCACTTTAAATCATTTCAACCATACTTTGGTTCTCTGATGTGGGAAATAAAGCTTTCAGGAAATATCATGTCAGGAAACGTTATTTCTAAAATTATCGAGAACGGATTAATATGTTTCATCACTACATAAAATTGTTGCATTCCAATTTTTCGGTACTCTTTGATATGACTGCATAAAACTCATTATTTCTACTGTTTTGGAACAAAATTGTACCTTACAATGATGGTAGATGGTGTAATATTTTTTGCTTTACTGACAGTTTGAACACTCCAGAATGTTTTATTTGCTTACATATTTCTCTGTAAAAATTCAAAACAAAAGATTGGACGTCGTTTAGGAAAATGCGGGGCATCGGGAAGGTCGACTTTTGGTGTATTTTACTTTGAAGGCAACACTTTGGAAAGTGCAAATAATCTCTGTACCACTATTTAGGGATCGACTCAAGTTGAATTCCCTCAGAAGGGCTCCAAGACCGAGCTGCACACTCCACTGGCGCCGTATCACACCCGGTACCTATTCGTTGACTCGGGCCCCAAAAATGACATTCACTGCATTCAGGAATTTCGTACTAGATTTGAAGCTTGGCTCTCAAAAATGACGTTTCGTCCTGAAAGCTGCAATCTTACTTGTGAGTAAGCTTATCACATGATTTTAATTATGGAGCTGAAATGTGATTTAGGCAAGATTGTCTTAAAGGAATCGTTTTATTGCATTATATTAATAGTAGGGACCAAATTACTGCCTGTTAAATGACAATTGATGATATAGCCATGTGCTCTTATGAGTTTTAATCCAAATACTCAACAACCGACATTAAAAGTCAAAGGCACTGAATTTTAGTACCACCAACTTCCCTATCGTTAAAATTACCTGCCCAATTTCTCACTTGTTTAACATACTCTAATTGCATGCACATATGCATTTCGAATGGTTCAGGCAATCATTAGATGGGAGCATAAAACACGCTTTTTATTGACAGTAATTATTTTATATTGTGTTTTACTAGCGGCACAGTGATTCGCGTACATTATGCCAGCATTTGTAGTAGAGGAAAGATGATTTAACGCATTTCATAGAAAATCTACATAATAAGTAGAGCAAAATAGCATTTGTCATAGTTTTGTGTCTCTGTGTAAAGAGATGCTCAAATAGATCTAAGTGCATTAAACATTTTCATTGAATAATAACCTAGATGAAAAGGAAATTTCTGACCCCAACAGACACTGTTATCTATCCAGTTGTATAAATGTATTTTAGAGGTTGGTAATACAAAGCAGTTTTTTATAGACAACACCCCTGTTTGTGGAATTCTGGTCGCTGGAAGACCTGAGGATGCTCTGGGAGTTTGCGAGGCTCTAAAATGCAATATCCCATTTGTGGTAGTGGCCGTAAGTACTTATTCTTTGCTAACTGCAAATTCAAGGCAGATACCTTAGTGACTAATGCAGATTTTTTTTGTACATAAAGTTAGCCTGACCTAAAAGTACGCGCTAAACTTTTGATTGTTGTGACAATAATGACTCCGTATGTTTCGAACAACCTAGGATCAAGTTCCTACTTTGTGCTGGTAATCGACATGCTCAGTCTCAAATAAACAATATTTCCGGTTTCTAAGTAACAGAAATATTCTCAATATTAGCTAGGCAGAGAATCGGAGCCTACTACCTATTTAAGTAATTACACAATAATTGGCAGAAGAGTAACCAGTTGCAGTTACTTTTATCAGAATGAATGCAAATCCTTTAAAGGGAACCTTACATGTTATTTCATGCACTCCAATAATTAGAGATCATAATAGTAGTGAGCACACTTGTTTTGTTCCTACTAGTTTCTTAAGCATCTCTTGCTGCATCAGATTTGCTGCGCTGCTAACCTGAAGTCATTGCAGTGAAATGATTGGCTATCTAACTGTACCTCATCAGCTGTGGCGCCAACAGGAGACGAGACGCAGTATACTCGCAAAAGCGGCGCCAAATCAATTTGTAATCGCCTCTAAAAGTCAGAAGAATATTAGCCACTAGGATCGGTGCAAAATGGAGTCAGTGGCAGTCGTCTGCTGAATGACATAATTTTTTTATTAAAAAATTATTTAGGACGTGCAATGGGCATAAAAGTGATTGGGATTAGTAATTTACAAACGCGGTTTCAATAACTTTCATAGTTTTCCTTCGTTTAGGCAGTTTATGCCTTTACTTTGCACATTTTGTTTGGGGAATTTGCTCCATTGATCCACTTAAACCAACATTTACCAAATTCGATCATTAGCGATCACCTAATGCAATAATTATTTAACGATCATTATACTGCTCAAACTAAATAACTAATGAGACTGCGAAAAACTTTACTTGTAAAAGACAATACTTTAAAGTCACTCGCTATGATACAGGCAAATAATGATTCCCTTAGATGTTAGGCTATTAAATTTAATAAAAATTATAAATAGCTAGACAATTTTCTTGTTATTAATCTCCGTACTCTTTAAATCAATTGTGTTCTTTTATTTGTAAAATCAGAAGAGGTTGCGACAAACATACTTATTGCGTGCACTTTGTTTCTCCATGCAGGATAGCGGTGGGCTTGCGTCCATAATCGACCAGTGTCTATCAGAAACGAAATATATTCGCGAAATTAGCCAGCATTACACGGAAGAGGCATTTGGAATCTTTGGAGCTGATCATGAGAGGTAGTAGCACATTCCTTCGTCCCCAAATGAAAAGACAATTTTATGAACAGTAGTCCAGCCATCCATTTAAGATCGCAAATAGTGATGCTGAATCACTCACTTCAACCTTCGTCCTCAATCTTCTTTTTGATAATTGGTCCCTTTCCTAGTTAATAACTAAATCGTTTTACCCTCTACGAGCAGTTCTTTATTTCAGATAGGCGAGTCCAGTCGACTTCATATGTCCTTCAACATTCCCTATCCTGAGTGTAAATTAAAAAATTCATCCCCCTTATTTTTCATTTTCGATTTATAACCCGAACCACTTTGATTTTGCAGCACATATAAATGCTAACGGGACTGCAATATTTGTTTTCATGATAGATTATTGGAAATTATGTTGCAGTACTGGCCAGAAACACATCTTAGTGAGGAATTAACTGCTTTGGTGACCTCTATTCTTGGCTATTCACACTTGATGCAGTTCTTCTTCGCGGAGTCTAATTCTGATGCATCACTTGATGGAAAGATTGTGTCAGCGCTCATAAATCCCGGTAATATCTGTTTATGATATTCCAACGATAGTAGATTAAAGTAAAACATCGAATTCGTAACAATAGAGGAACTGAATTTTTTGTCTGTAAAAGCACATATAGTTTTATTTTATGAAAAAACGCAGTGAACACAAATTTGTCTTTAATTATGTCTGTTGTCATTCAGCCCTATTCCAAGATGTCAGCAGGAAACAATCGTGGAAACCACGGCTAAAATTGGCGATGGAACTTAATAAGACCGACTTTGTTCTGGAAGAAATTTTGGCTGACAGTCAATGGACAGTAAATGCCTCTAATAAAACAGTTTACGATTTTTCGTAGCCTTTAATTACTCTTTATTATAGTGCTTTAGTTATATGGCAATAAATGTATGCATTCACCAGTTTAATTAAGTATTTCGTCACCTACCTCATAAATTAAGATGTTGAAATTTTTAAAGCAATCAACCGTGTAAAAAGGTTATTGAATTTACGTAATTTTATAGCTTGAGGAAATTAGTCCGTTCGCTAGGAGCTGTCTCCTTACAAACAAACCGCAATTTCTGCGTCTCTTTTGCGACGCAGGCCTTTATATACATGAGTTCGCAGATCGAAAGGCAGTTGAGGAGCTATTCACCATAGAGGCGCACAGAAATGTAAGCAGTTTGATTGTTTAGCCAATTTGTACAAGAAATAAAGCCAAGTTTACCCTTCCTTCTATGTTAACTCGTTGGTAAGACACTTTACTCCTCATATGATTGGTCACTAGACCGCGACCGCCTTTACCATTTAGTTGCATTTCCCCATGGTGTAAAAAACAACTCCTTGTGCTATTTAAAAAACTCTAATGAGTATCTAAAGGATATTTTAGTAAGCTACTAGGTTTTTTGGGAGACGTTTAAAAAGACCTACTGTGGTCAAATGAACGCTGTTTGCACCAAGCTTCCCATGTACTTTTCTCCTTAATTTTAGCAGTTAATGCAGACAAATGTTTGCTAAAGAGTTCTCATGTCAGGATGCAAAGTTTAAGGGGATGAAATTATTTTTGGATAAATAGGAAAGGGATATTTATGTACCTAATGGAATCCAGAAGAGTATGCTTGAGTTATTCCAAGTTAAAGTCATAAGTATAAGTACATCTTAGCAAATATCTTTCATAGCATTGAGTAGGAATCATAAAATAGGGCATCAAAAAATAAGTCGCCTGTGTCTATTTAGAAGTTGAAACTGTTCATCGCCGAATACTTGAATGAAGGAGGCCAATACAATGGTGTATTAGCATTTGTACTGTATTTCCCTATTCTCCTTTTCAGACCGTCGGAGGAAGGGCTTTGAAACAGTTTTTTCTGTACTATAAACGCAAAGTAAGTGAATGGCTTGAGCGGAATGCATGTTTTGTGGCTTTTTTAATTTAAAATGCGACTTTGTAACGCAGTATTTACTCTATCTATTTTCCTATGTAGTCTTATTTTAATATTTTTCCCACTTTTCATCATCGGCTTTTGCAATTTTCATTTTGCAGTTGGTACCTCCCATCTTTCGCGCACGATTCTATGGGCTGCTGTATTTAATAAAGACTTGTGGTTTGTGTGAAACTTTCTAAAAAACTAAATTTGCCTTATTTAATAAAAGGTACCAGCTAATATAACGGTGGATATAGTGGAGCAGACGCTTACGATTATGATGGGACGCAAGTACTTTACTCATGTCACACGCGGTGGTCGTCGATGCCGATGTGTGATACGGAAATCGAAGGAAGCCTCGTCGAAGAAACAAGGTACTGGAAGCATTTAAACCGACTTCACCCTAAGTGTACACAATCCCCCTTTCCGTTCTGTCTAAATATGTGACTGTGCACACTTATGTACTTTAACATTAGACAACTTTTCCGAAGAAATTGTGGTAGCCAGGACTACAACGGACTAGGTTCGCTTTCTTATTCCTCTGATGGGTTTCAAGATAAACGGACTACCGTATTTTATATTTTTAATCTATCAGAAAAATGAATGGAAGTCTATCAGATGATAGCTTGCGATTCGTTGAAATTCACAATGCGCCTACACATTTGAACATTTTTAAACCAAGACATATTGAACGCAAACTGATACGACTTCGCTTATTAACGCAAAACAACTGTATAATTGTTTCTAAGTCATTATTTGAATTTCACGGCTCCCATATTTTTAGTTGAAGTAATTGAGCAAACGTCGTATCTTCATGAAAACGAAAGTTACGTACAATACCTCTACTTATGGGCGCTTGCCTCGAAACGCTATGAGATAGCGCGCTATTTGTTGATGATGCTCACTGATATAACTGCGGCGGCGCTGTTCGGTGCATCTTTTCTGCGTCGAAAGGCACGAATTTCGCGATCACCAACAGACAATGAGGAGTCGAAAAATTACGCCCTGTGAGTTTCTTAGTGACCGATTTGTCAACTGAGGATAACTAATAATTTTCATGTCATACGTAATTGTGAACAACTGAAACGCAGTTCAGTGACATAACTTCGATTCTTTTACTTTGGCATCCCCCTTTCGTCTCACTGGTTTGCTTTGCATTTATCCAACAAATGGGGTCATGTAATCCTTCCATGAGCGGAATCTTCATTGCAAAACCCCATAACTTTTCTCAATAATTACCTATATATTAATAAAGTATTGTTTGTACTCATTAAAAGGTATGCAGTCTTTCAAGCAGATCCGCATTGTTTGCCAGTCTGTGGCAACTGGTTGGAAGCAGTCGTATCGTAAATGCATTGGTTGAGTTCTGAACAAAAACGGGCATATAACGATTCTTGTTTAAGGAGTGCTTACATTTACTTAATTTTGACCGGAATAGCTTTAAGTATAATGTGGTAACTGATTTTTCTCTGTTAAATTACTTTGTTTGGTTTCGTCGACAAATTTAGATGGAACATAGTCTGCAAAACAGTTTACGTTTGTTAATCAACAGCTATCGCACTCAAAATTTCACCCAATGTAAAATTGTTTTATTTAACAGTAACTCTTGGACACTTATGAGCAACCACTCTCGATCTTTGAGTGAATTTCGCCCCAGTAAGTAGGTCTAATTCATAAATGTTTGGGTGCAGAGACCTTTGTTTAGATGACTAAATGGAATTTCATACTTCGTTTGTTAGTTTCAATCAGTCTGAAATACTACCTATATGCTTGAGCAAAAATGTTTTAGGGCTATGGTCACACAGATCAAATGGGAACCTAGATTATAACTTGAATCAATTGCTTGATGTGCTTTTTCTGTATTAGAGACAATATTCATGACTGGCTGTATGCATTGCTATCTTAATCACCTAGGGTAACCTTTTTTGAATAGAGAAACATACATTAAGAATGCATATGAATTCGCATAGTACTGAAGTTTTCTTAATTTAATAGGCTTTTATTAACCCATGAAGAAGAGGTTAAGGAAGCTGTTTGCTATTTTGTATAACAAGTATTTAGGTGCTGTTATTCGTATAATTAAATGGCCTGGGGGCGGTGGGGTTTCTCACTAGCCTGGATGCACGGTGAAGGCTGGATACAGAACCAGGTAGCCAGCAGTTCGAGTAGGGAAACGCATTTATTTTTTGACAGAATAGTTATAACACAAAGGTTACAGTGAGGTAAGCAGCCAGTTATGCAGAGAAGCAGTAATAACAACAGCATTAGCAAAGCAAATGCAGTCCAGTACCTCAAAAATTGAAGCTGTCAGCCGCATGAGTGCCACTCAGTGATATTTGAACTCTAAAATGAAGAAAAATGGGAAACAATTCCATTATTTAATTTTCAACATTTACTGTTTATAATTGTATAACTTATATTCCATTCTTTTCTACTATCATCAGTGCCTTCGAGAACATCGCCCTCTCTATTTTAAACCAATGCTACAGCAGCAATGTTGAGAGCACAATGCAACTTCTCATAATGGAACGGCAAACATTCGAACAGCTTTCATGCTTTGTGATAGCGGCTGAGGGCAACTGCAAACACTTTATGGAGCATCAGGCCTGCCAAGAGTACCTCGACCGAGTTTGGGCGCACACCTTGCTCGTGAGAGCCGGCTCGATCAAGGTAACTAACTGTACCAGGTGAAAATATGGTTCATGTGGATCCCGATATAACCATTTGAAAGGACTCGGTTTAATTTATATGGCCATGACGACGTAAATCGTGTACACATATTCTAAACCGGATAGGTCTGAGTCTGTCGGTACTTACTATTCTACTCTATCCTCTTTTCATACCATTCTAAGCTCTTTAAAGTTGTGGGTAGAATCCAAAGTGATTCGAGCTCGCTAGCTTTACGAAATTAATTTAGCTTGATTTTATATCCGCGGAAGCTTTTCACAAAATTTATTTGTAGTATTTTGAGAACATGAGGTTAAGCGATGAAACACTCAAAGATGTATTGCGTTTAGAAAACTCTTTCTTCCTCACTATGAAGGAATAACCGTGATTGTTGGAAGTGATGAATTGAAGTTGAAGCACCAAGATAAACCAATTCATTTATACTTACCACAACCGAAAAAATAATGGAAAGCACCTTCATGCATTATAGGTAACGATAAGCTTTAAATATTATCCACTTGTGCTTCAATTCCTTTGCTTTGTAAAATGCGCCATTTTAGGCGTTTGCTGACTTGTAAGGAAAAATGCTACTACCACTCTAAAGTTATGCAAACACATCACTGATAATCCCTGAATGAACCACGCACGTGTGCTTTTCTAAGGCATTACTACATCCCCAAGAAACGATGGCTGTTTCGTTTGTGGTGGACTGCAGATAGAAGTGTTTACCGTGGATTTTGGGCCGACAATCAAACAATTATGGAGGAATCCATTTACTTGACACGATACAGCTTAAATGTATGCTAGAAGACTTCTTCAGATATGATCTGGACTAATTAATCCGTGGGGAGAAATTTTTATTACCTTAAGTAATTATCACCTTTCTTTGTATTAGATAATCAACTATGGAATAGAGTAGACAGCTAGATAGTAAACTGAGATAGAAAAGGAGGCAGGCAGATTGCAATATGGAATTCTTTGTCTCGTTCATGTTTTATCGATATTCATTCCATTAAATGAGGTATTTTAAGAAGCCCTTTATAGTTAATTAAATTTACTGTAAAATCCTTACCATTCTGCTTAACTGTCTTGTACTCCCAATCCCAGTCCGTTTCCTTTTCCTCTAGCTCAGACATTTCTTCAGAAACTCCGCTTATTTGTTTTTCTCTTTAATTGACGATCGGTAAAAGCATATGATTGTTATCAATAGGCAACTTGACAAATCATCATGAATACGTTGTCATCTCATACATCCATCAACGCTGATGTTCATCGCTAACGTGATTGGCGCCTTTAGGTATACAAGAGGCTGTGCTTTGCCATTTTGTTTAGCTATAGGGGAAAGCAGAAAAGTTTCAAAGGACTCTGGTTTGGATTCACGATTTGCAAAGTGGCCGAAGTAGTGTAACAACTTGGGGATTTTTGGCTTTCTATCAATCTGGAGGTAAAATTTGATGAAAAAACGAGTTAATTTGAGTTAACTTGAGTAATTGGGCTAAAATTCTCGTTTATTAAGTCCTAATTTAATTTAAACAGGCTTTTGAACTGGATTGACTTATCGCAATATTGTAATCACAATTCGTGTGGGGTTTTGTGCCAAAAATACAGTAAAATTTGCAGCTTTTCAGCAATTATTTCTTGAGATGTTTGGACTTTTAAATAAAGTCTATAAGCTTTTGTGAGCTTAAGAACTCCTATGGCTTTTTCAGTTCTTTTTCATTCTCTTCGTTGGTATTGCCTGTCCACCCGCCATTCCCTTCATTGCCGATTATGATGAAACAAAATATGCGCAGAAATCTTCCGACTCTGTTGATGATGTGAGTCATCGCCATTGTGTTACTACTTAACTATTACAATCAGTATCGGACACAAGAAATGTTTTATGAGTAACTTACACATAGGTTGGCAGCCGAACAGTAAACACCACATCTGCAGCGTTCATATTTTCAATATCAGCATTAGATCGAGGAGTAACGGAGTTTCATAACCGTTTCGAAGTACGTATTTATCAGGATTAAAAGTACCTTTCTTTTACTTTCGGTCTTGGCGGATTTCAAGATGGGTAAAAATATGCAATTGAAGATTTATCACAATAAACTCGTTGACTTCTATAAGGCTCCCTGCGTACGTCATGCATACCAAGTTGTAAGTTCATTTGGCCACTACTAATTGCTTGCTTCAACGTCCAGTAAATGGCTTTAAAATAAGATAAATATTGACTCGAGTAAAGTTATAATGCAAAATTATTGGGATATTAAAAATGCGCCATCAAGTTTTTGAATAGGTGTCCTTCTAATTGCACACGCTTCTAAATCATAGTATGATTCAATGCTAGTTTTTACTCTATACAACCCTATTCTTGCATTTACAGTCCCCATTCCCATAGAGCATAGCAATTCACTAAAATTTTAGTGAATAATTATTTTATCACTAGATTTGATGAGCAGAACAATATTTTATGCTGCTTACAATTTTTTTGCTTTCCTCTTTAAGGTGGCCTACTCAGTGCTCTTCTGTCTTTTCGCAATAAAGCTTCAATTCGAATTTACGTTATCTAACTACGGCTGGATGGCTGTAGAAACTGCTATCATCCTCATGGCGACAGCTCACTTCATTGAATACGTCAAAAACGTAAGGAATTGTTCACTTTCGCAGCGAATTTGCTGAGTCAAACATATATTTGCTCGACACTTACAAAGCGTACCAAAAACTGCGGCCGAAAAGCACTAGAAAACTTGGCTTACACAAATATACTAGATCTAACAATTCATTGTGGTATAGAATTTATATTTTGAATATTAGTGCAAACAATTACGGTAACAGCTGCATCAGTAGCCGTACAACAGAAATTAGCTCAATTTAAGTCACAAATTATCAAGTATTATAATTCATCATTACCATCCATTATAAGACTCTAACAAATTGGATATCATGGCGCAACTTCATCCGTCAACGAATCAACCAATTTTCATCGGCCGCTTTCGCGTTTTATGTGGTTGGCGTAACGCTCCAGGTCATTTTCATCCTTCCAACTCAAAGGAGCTTTGTCTTTGAACAATTCAGTCGAATTTGTCTAGCATTCGGCGCCGGCATACCCGTTCAACAGCTCCTTCTGTTACTTTCTATTCATCGGTATATCGGTCCCAAATTGCAGATGATCAGGAAGATGGTACGTTTATTTCCTTTTTAATCGAATCTCTATTGTGACGTTACTGGCTTTGTTGGTTGTGTGATAGTTCAGCAATGTTGAAAATAGATAACCTTCTCACTCGTAAAATTTCTGTTGTTCTTAGAAAGTAAGCGATAAGGCAACTTTGGTATTTTTGGAATAAATCTGAAAACAGGTAGCTACCTAACGCGATACCAAATTTCTCCACAATTCGGTGGCTTTACTATGTTCTGCTTTCATAAATTACTTTACTTTCCAGATTTTATAAATTTGACCACATGACTTTCAAAAAAGTGAATCATTTGCAAAATAACTAAGGTAGTATCGTCACACTTGCTCTTTCGACCTTTTTATTGCAGGTTGTGAGGGATTTGTTGCCGTTTCTGGTGATAGTTCTCATATTTTGGAGCATGTACACCATCATCTTCTCAGTCGTTATCCTGCGGCCAAGCGGCTCTTACGATACCTATGGTGCCATCTCTCGCCTTCTTCGCATTATGCGATCTGGATTCTTCCAGATGTTTGGCGAATTCAATCTCGAGGAGCTTCTACACTATTATGGTTGATAAAATGTTTATTTGAGTCTGTTTGAATGCTGCATTTCATTCCCAACTAGTAGCTTTAAAGTTTCTAGTTTAACGCAGAGCTGCTATAACTCCATGCAATAGGAGTTTTTGGACTATTACAAATAAAGCTAGGCTTTTACCTAAATCCATTGCAACATTCACTTTCACTATTGTCAAATAAATAGTCAAATCTTCCATAACCTTCATTATTCTCCGTTTGATTGCTCTTCTCCGTCATGTTTATAGGAAATTCAACCTGTGGAAATGTCACAACTTCCGGATGCGCCTATCCATATTTTAAATTCCTTCTTCCAATACTCCTTTCTCTTTTCACCTTGACGACGCACGTATTACTGATTAACTTGCTTATTGCAATCTTTACGTAAGTATTTCAGTTTAATTTTCCAAAATGCTTTGCCTTTTTGTTAAATACCACGACTGTGTTGACTTTTTTGTGCGTTGAATAAATTGTGCAAATTTTGCTGCTGATAAGGACGTTTCCTTTATGTTGCTTATCGGGAAATTGAGCATTGAAAGGTGCGTTTAGAACGAGCGACACCAGATATTCCATCACCCTAGGCTCTCTTAAGCAGGCACGCTTGGACATCTATTAAGTACAAGTTCTGTTTCTGATTACTTTATGAAATTGTCCTTCACAGTCAAGTTTATTTCCGCAATGGAAAATTGGACCTAGGACTGTTTTGGTTAAGACTTTAGGCTAACATGCCGTTGATTAATTCATAAGTTATTTACATAACCATTTTCAAATGCTTTATTTAATGGCTATGTTATTTAAAAGGCCTTTAAAATCGAACCACTTAAATTATCATCTAGGTTCCAGCTAACGATGATGGAGAGTCAAAAAAGTCGACACTGTCTGTAATCCTACTTCGTCATGTGTAGGCGTCAGTTGCTCCTGTAAATTAAACATGGTAGCAGTCAATAGGTACTTTATTTTTAAGGAGATAAACTGTTTAAAAACTTATAAATTATATGCTGACAAAAATATCTTTCGTCAAGCGAATATTTGCGTGATGAATTGTAATATGCTAGTACTTCTAATCCATAGTTTCATTTGAACTACACTTACTAAATTAATTCCTTAATAAATGCAACCAGATCCCTCTGAAAAAAGGCAAATTTCTGTTATTATATTCCAGAAAAACATATGATGATATGGAAGCCGAATCTCAGCAACTCTGGACAATGCAGAGATATGCGTTGATAGGCAGTATTCTCTCGCAGTCAGTCATGCCTGCAACTCTCTCCATCTTTCCACTGCTTTACCAATGTTTCCGACGTTTTAATCAAAGTCATGATCACAAGGATTCCTTCAAGCAGAAGCCATTTCGTGAGAGGGTCTTTTATATAGGTTTTACTCTGAATTTTTGAATCTATTATTGGTAGGTATCAAATCTGTTTTATGATTTTCTCGTTATCGTAGTCTCCTCATTTTCAATGAAAACTTGATAGGTGGATGTCCCACTTCAAAACTGTTAGTTGGGTGATTCTATGTGTTGTTTTCCTACTTATTTTAAGTAATATTCGGCCTAAGTTTTAGCACACATTGGTTCACATGGCTTTTTGCAAAGCCGCACAATGTCAGCTTGCAATACATTGGAAGTTTCTCGTGAATAATTTGTCCTTTAAGTTGTGTTGAAAGGCATCTTGTATTTGACTAGTTGTCTCACTGCAAAACAATAGCTCAAAATTCACTTATAAAATTCGCAGGAAAAGAAGTTAATGATGTATCTTTTTCATCACATTTCAAAACAGGCGATTTGATCTTAACGCCTCGTAGATTGAACTGGTTAGAAACCTCACGCATTTTTAAGCCTTAAAAATTCTGGTAGGATGGTTGATCTATGGTACATCTTAATTTGCTTCTAGTGTCTGAAATCCCAGTGGAAATATTTTGTGATATCCATTTACGATAAGCTTTAAGCCACCGTGAGTATTTATCCTTGGGGAATGCGAGCATTTTAGGCATTTGATAATACTTTATTTGGTGAGAATGATGAGTAAATAAGCCCGCAGACTTTTGGTGAATGTATATGTCATTGTGCATATTAAACTTAACGATTAATGATAACTCGTGGCAAATCCATCCATTACACCATTAAAATAAAAATCGGGGAAACTTGGTACAAAGGTTATTCAGTATCCATAATCTCTGTTTATTTTATTTGTGTTTCAAGAGAAATCTTTTCGAAATTCGCCTGCTCATGAGCGCCAGTTGATAAATTGGGAGAAATTAAATGCCTTAATAATCACAGGAGGTCAGAACTGTGGTGAAGAGACTGAAAAAGAGAAGAATGTTCAGAGGGCCTCACGAGGGGCTGTGCGCAGTAATCAGGAGGACCATTGGCATCTCCTTAATCGCCTTCGACCCGCAGACATCAAGACCGGCCTTAAAAAGCCCTTGCTTGAGCAGAAAATCGAGAACATTGATAAGACTCTGGAGTCTATTATGACACTTGTGAGTCCGTTGTTCTTTAGATGTTTTCTTTGGGCATGTTGAGGTGGTTAACCTATTGGGTTATTGCTGATTGATTATAAGTCTCATAGTTTGTTGAAATTATCTATCTTAAGATTCACGTAAGTATCGTCGAACATTCATTTATAATTGAAATGACATGCAAATGGCATTCACCAGTCCTCTGAGAGCTGTCTCCTCCCTACACTCACAATAAACTTAACTGAGCAAGGTTATCGATGTCCTTAGTATGGCGCCAAATTGGAACGTTTCTTTTAGATCAGAAACAAATGTCACAACTCGCCATCTCCAACTTCATCTACCGCAAAACGTGAGTGCTTTGTGGTTTGCAGAAAGTAGACACTTTCAAAGTTTAACATAAGACTGAAGTGCTATTATGGGAAGTCTCACATTCTGGAATAGGTAGTCAAGTTAGAGGAATTTATGAATACAGTAAAATTTGATCTTGGCATTTTGATCTCTGGTTCTATCAGAGGGTTGTAATTAATGGAGACTAGTCAAATATTTCAGCTGGTATGATCTCTGCTTTGAAGTTTTGAAATTTTATGAACTGAGAGGATTGAACACTCAGGTAAACATTGGATAATACACAAATCCTCTCATTCTTTTTGACTAGGAACAGCAAATTCTTGATACTCAGCAGACAGACACTGTGC